TCCATCAGCAAGGTTGCCAAAATGCATGCGCACCTCAAATTAACGAATGCCGTGAGCTATTATGCACTGGTACTACCCCAGAAATGTCTTCTGAGTGTAGCCGCAGGATCTCACAGAACATGTTAATGTATGCATGTATCATGTACAGAATATGAAATGGTTGCTTATGAGTTATAAGGCTCTAATTTTTTTCCATACGTGAGAGTGTACATGTATGTCTGATTTGTCTCGCTTCTTCAGGGGCGGGTGGGGTTTTTCCAGATATATTTTTTAAAATTTATGGATTTATAAAAGCCTTCATGTAAATGAGAAGTTTTCATCAATGTATTTTTTCTCCTTTTTTTTGGAGGGGGGGGTGTCTAACATTTATAGGAACGAATTGCAATGGGCAATTTTTAGGAGTATCTTTATAGGGGTCTACCCGATGTTCCCCAATACCTATGTTCCCCAATGCGTATGTTCCCCAAAATCCTTAGGGTTAGGGTTATGGTTAGATGGTTATGGTTGGGGAACATAGGTATTGGGGAACATAGGTAAGCACCCGTCTCTTTAGACAAATACATAAACATACTGACATTATGTATTTTTTTACAAATTTGTATTTTCCCGCAATCTCAACCCTGCTCCTTTCAGTATTATATCAACAAAAGACGCTTGTGCGCACATGATTTTTATGACCCGCATCAATTTACTACTTGAAAAGAAAAATCAGTCGGTCTGTTTTTGAAATCAGGGTCAAACCAACCGCACACGCTGGCGGATTGCATTCCATTTCATTTGTTTGCCGTCGCTTCATATCTGGGCTGTTCGGTGCTGAAGTGTAAAATTCACATTGATTTCACGGACTCGGACTTCCAGCATTCGTGGTTTGAATTGAGTAGGATGTGTTCGCTCAATACAGTTCACTTAACATGAATATGAATTATTAGGTTTGCAATCAGTTCAGTGCACACAATACGAGCGCTCGTTATGTACGGATGGAATGTGCACAAAAAATCACCAGTTCAATTCAATCGGTTCAGTTCAATTCAATTTATTTCAATTCAATTTAATGTGAAAGTTTAGATCTGTTCAAACATGAGCCAAACAGAATCAGCAACACAAAGTTGGTTTTATTTCCTAAATGCTGTACACTCAACCTATTTACCACTTTTCTTGCCGATTCTAAAGACATTTGCAGACGTTGCTAAAACTGTGTACATTTTTAAAAATATATCCACTGTCAAACCTGTCCACACTTCTAAAATTTGCAAATGGCACAGGCATGATTTTATAGGTCTCGTTGAAATGACGTCATGTCCTACAGATGTGCATCGGCATTTTGAGCGTCAACTTGCTTTACGCGCATTTTGGGCAACATGCGCGCATGTTTGGAACATTTTCAACACTGCGCAATGCGTGCTTGATTGCGTAAAATACGCAGTTGCAGTTCTCCTACAGAGATGGCCATCATTGAACGAGCCCTATTGAACATGCACAAAGCCATTACATCTTCACATGAAAAAAATGCTCCTGAGCATGGGCACACTAAGAAAACATGAAAAATTGCATTTAGTGTCCACTAACTAATATTGTATTATAACACGAAGAGCTTGACTAGTTACACATTTTACAGACATAAATATTATTTGGTAAATTGGATCTTGCACTTCTAAAATTTACATCTCCCTAATGCAGAATTCCTTACAAATTCAATAATACAAATCAAACATCTGCAATACAGTATTTGAAAAATTAAGGCTGATTAAAAAAATATAACAGTTTCTCGTCCGGCCTTTTTGAAAAAATGAAGGAGGCACACGTTTTTTTCCCCCCTTTTTTTTCTCAAGATGGCGGATGAATTCTTCCATTTTTTTTTTACTCTTTTGATGAAAATTGGGTCCAAAAGAGCCGTATCCATTTCCACAACTATAATTTTGTTTGGAAATAAATTAAAAGACAGTATCATAATATGTGCAAAATATCTTGCAAATTTTATGTAAAAAAAAAAATTCAAGGAAGCGGGCGGGAAAAGGAAGTGGGCGGGGACAAGAAACAAGTTTGTTTTTTACTAGACCTAATATAATGCCACATGAGTTCATAGAATCTATTTTCTTTCCTCTTTTTCTGTACCATTGGTTGAAACAGCGTGAAGGGGGAGGCAAAAGGAGAGCATTTGAAATGACTTGATTGATTGATTGATTCGCCAGATCCCTACAGATTAATTTGTTTGGGTAGTTTGTCAACGCAATGACTTGTGGCTCCCATGGTCCTCATTGGAGAGCTGGAGATGCATACCTTACATGTACATGTACTATAACTTCGTCACCTGTCTTCCAAAGTGTCATAGTACACTTGGGGATTACACCTGTTTTGGCAATTTCTGTAAATAGTGTGCTGTGTTCCAGTTGTTACAGTTTACAAGTCAGGTGCAGTAGTACATTGAGTTCAAAGCTGGGTGGGGATCACGGTGTTTGTGTTTTGGGGCATGGCACTTTACTGCAAGTTGACCTCAAAACATGTGAGATTTTACAAGAATACGGTACATCCAGACACCACAGATATCTACAACATGTGTAGCGTTTGTTTGTTTGGGGTTTTTTTTCATTTATTTTATGTCCCGACTGGACCTATCCAATCAAGGGCAATAAATGGGTACTTTGAAACAAAATTTTTAACATTTACTATTTTATTTCTCGGGAATAAATCAACAAATACATGTAAACAAATGACTTACGTTACAACACAAAAAAAACCAAAAGCTTTAGATTAATAAACAAACAAACAAAAACAAAATACCATTCAGCTCCCGAAGGATTGCCCAAAAGAAACATTGTTTCTGTCTAGGGGTTCTCCAAACTGAATGGCATACGTGAAAACAACAAGCAATAAATATAAAAAGAAGTTTTAACTATACCACAAAAAAAAGTTAAATAAAGTTACATTAAGTTAAGAAAAAGGTTGGTAAATTATATAATTATTAGACAAACAAATCAAAAGCAAAACAAAAAACCAAAAAAAACAAAAAAAATCAATTACTAGGTAAATTAAATGAATAAACAAATTAATATATACATTGTACTTCAACTACTACTACTACTACTTCTATTAATAGATAAATAAATAATTAGACAAGTTGGTAAGTTAGCCTAATTAATTAATTATTAACATATTGTAATGACTGTGGTAGTTTGGCTATGGTTTGGCTGACCAAGTACATTGTACACTATCATTTAATTGTCTCAATTTCTAGCAAGATGAAAAATACCCATGTTTTTGTTTACTTTTAATATCCTAATTAATTCAGAAGTTGTTAATCAAGTATTCACTCGCCTGTGAAAATTCATCACTTCTTTTTTTATATACCGGTATCTGGCAAAGTAGACCCTTCATCAGTTCAAGATTAGTTACCAGCTAACATCCCTGGAAATACCATCATGTGACACCCATGTGATTGGCTTCACATTTTATTCTGAGACACCGCTGAACTTTTGACCTAGCTTCTGTACTCATTTGCTTATAAATATGTAATTATCTGCTTATTTGTATGCCCCTTCTAATGCAGTGGGAGAATGGTTTGGGTAGACCATGTGACAGTCAACAGCTGATCACATGCCTAAACAACTTGATAAACAGCACCCCTTATGTGAATGGACAGTTCCGCATAAATTTGACTAAAATCTGCATATTAAACTTTAACGGATCATACATGCACATAAATACATGCAAGTATGTAACAGAGACATTGTTTTCTTTCCTCACTAAAATTACTGAAGTTTTTTTTAAAAGAAACTGTTACTCTTTTACAATATTGTACACTTTTACTGCCAACTGGAAGGAAGAGCCTATTTCAGGAAGAGGGGTGACTGAGTCTTCTTCAAAGCCAGTGGTAATTCCCCTGTATTCAGGGGGTTTAAACTACCCTTTGTACCCATTGTGAGTCAGGAATCAGCTGTTCCCAGGTCCATTCAAGCATGCTGTGGTGTTTACCTTTGATAAGTAACCATTGTTAACCATCTGACTTTTTTCATGGGGGTGGGCGGATCCACTTGCTTGAGTTTTTGTGGGGTTGCAGTGTTATTGTGCGACTGATGTTTCTTTTAAATCCGGGGTCTTAGGAGTGCGACCAAAACAAGAACAGCTGATGGGAGCAGAGACTGCCTTACGCTCATTTTTTTAATTTTTCCTGGAAAAAAGTTTTCTCCTCAATGAGTTTGAGACGTCATCCTCTTCATCAGTTGGAAAGTTTTCTGCCGAAAGTTTTCACAGCATCTTCACAGCTGGAACGTTTCTCCTGAATCTTCACAGCAATTGTGTGCGATTAAATCATTATTTTGGAAGGATTTTGCTGCACAACGAGCTCTTCCTTTGAGAAATGGTCTTCTTTTCCTGCATGTTCAAGCTGTGTTTGTTTTCAACTGTTTTAGTCAACGAGAAAACTTAAAGCGGTATATTTGACTGGCTAGCATGCGCTATAAGCACGTCAACACCGTTTTGTATTTAAGTCACAGTCTGGTGTGAAGTCTCATATCATTTGAAGTTAATCTGAACTTAAGTTAAAATGGATATTTGTTCTTGAGTTTAAAAAAAAGGTCTGGCCTCGTTAGGGATTTAAAGGGTGAACTGATGTCGTTGCCCTTTGCAGTACGTAGGAAAGAACAATGGGAAACTTTTATCACTTATCTTACCCATCAGAGCAAACACTGGTCCAGCCTGATCCACATTAATGTTGTTTGAAGAGATGTGCAGATATAGGTGTGTATTTATAACATTTATAACATTCTGAGGAAAGCTTAGCTCTGCCGGGCTAATTCAGTCGCCAGAAACCTTGAGAAAGTGTTCAGCAAAATTTGCTGGGAATGTGTGAAATTCGCACCTGGAACAACAGATGAGCTCCAAAGACCACTTTCTCTCTTGCATGCCAGAGTTGGACTCCTCTGGAGTTTGCCGGAGTCGGGGATTATGGTTTGATATGTTTGTGGACCGAAGCAGCGTTTTGAAAAAAAGTTCGAACTGGTTTTACCTATTGAGATGTCAATGTTGTTGCTGTCACGAAAACGTTTTTCAACATGTACTTTCTCGCCTGTGGTAAAAGTTCAGCGACTTGGACGTCGACCGCTTGTTGAACCCTCACATATCCTTTTTTTTTCCCGGGACATTCTTCAGTGATACATGATTAGCTTACATTATGAAGTGGTGACATGGCCGAACATCCAGAGGCGATTTAAAGTTGCTTCAATTTGTCATCTTCCTTATTGCACGAACCTGATGATGAACTTTAAAGATATCTTTGCAGAAAGCCTAAAATTGTTTTAGAGAGCAGATAATGGTTCAGCAATGTTCAACAGTGCATCGTCATCAACTACGTGTACCAGCTGATACTAGGCAGTACCTCAAAAACATGTTCTTGGCGTGTGTTTATCCACTGCAAATAGTTAGTTCATGAAAACTGTTGCCGTCTCTTTCTACATCATCTAGAGGTTCCTGTTCGTATTCACAAAGAATTAAAAAAAAACTGCACAGTTTACACGACCGAAATATGTAACTCTGGATTTTCAATGCCGTATCATGGATCAGGCAAGTTAAGAAGAGCTCAGCTCTTAATCTTTCTCGGCACCGGTAACCCAGCGAAGAAACCCCAATGGTCAATGCATCTAGGATGCCAGTCGCCACCCAGAATTCTTCCGGCGGGCCACCCCGTGCCGGCCTGCGGCGCAATTCAAGCTTCTCAAATCTCTGTTCGTACACCAAACGGTCGTTCAAGCGGTTACTCAGCCTTGGAGATGAACCACCCATCCCAGTCGAGGTAAGGCTTCTGCCGAGCTGTGCAGTGTTTGGAAATTGGTCAATTTGAATTCAACATATTAAAGTTCTCATATCAATAACTTGTTTCAAATTTGCACCCCCACTCCCCAGTCAAAAAGCTTGTAGAACCACAGTTTTACGCTCCACGGGTGAGATTTAGCAGGGTCTTGTGACCTTAGTGACAGAGATTTGTGATAAGGGCGTTTGTGTCTATACCCGGCAATTTTCCTGAACAATTTTAAGTTTATTCTTCTTCAGTTGGTAACACATAAAAGTCCAACTATCGGTACTTGGTCCTCAATTTTTAAAATGTTATTAGGAGTTTTATTCCCCTTTTAATCAAATAGCTGCCAACTTTTTCTTTAATACGTCCACATAATGTTAAATGTCTGCAACAAAACTCTGTTTTGACTAAAAGAAGAAAAAACTGATTGTACAAGTATCATTTTACTTCAAAGACACTCTTTTTTTAAGATTAGCATCTGATTAGAATACAAAGTTTTTTGAAAAGGTTAAGAAGTGACCTTTTTCTGGCATAATGGTGTCAAACTCAAAGCAACATACCAAACAATGTGCTGTCATGTTGCTGATTAACTATTAAAGGCACAAGGTGCAAAAATCAATGTTCAGTAAACGAAGAAAACAAAAGCTGAACATTGTTGCATACAGGAAGGTGTTGGCTATGGAGCAATGTGTTGGTGCAGAACTTGTCACTCCGTGAATGGGTTAACGAACAATTGAAAGATGCTTGAGCTGTACACACACAAAAATCTTGTTAAGCACAGCTAATTTCAATGCCTGGATTAGCACTTTGTGTTGTCAATTATGAGTAAAGTACCATCTGCTTTACTTTGTATGGGGTAAGTACAAATTTTCCTATCAAACTTTAGTGGGAATAATATTATTTAAAGCTCAAGTCAAGTGGGCTTGTAATACTTTTCAATTCTGATGCATTTTTGGTGGAAAATGAAACTCTAAGGAAACAAAAAATTTATGCGATCACAAATGTTAGGTGTTCTGGCAAATTAAGACAGAACTGGTTAGAGGTTGAAATGAGGGTTTGTGGGTATTAAGAAAGAGAATAACATTCTCCTTACATTACTGTTTGGTGCACTTCAATCGTACGTTCCGTTGACAAGTTATGTCTGTTTAAATTTTGCATTTATTATTTAGTGACATGTCAAGAAAGTAAAACAACTGGAAACAAATCCCTTTAAAGTTTCAAGTTTACTATTCATGCAAATGAAAGATGTCAATTGTTTTTCCTTAAAAAACACTTTTGATTCCACAATTTCTATACTTTTTCTTTAAAATATGTGTAGCAGAAATATCCAGAAATCTGAAAATCGAAAAAACAATCACCATGATTCGGGGTTTTGTTTTTTTCTTCAGCATTTTCTCCTCTACAAATGTACGACCTGTGCCGAGTTCCTTCTCATTTTGCAAAAATGCCTCACAAATGTGTAACGTCACACCAAGTTTTCTCACTGGGAATATGCAAAAGTTGCGCGCAGTTTCAACCATGCAGCAAACTTCACTACCAGGTTTTTTTGACGTCCAATGTGCTTTTAGGCATTTGCAATCAGGCAAAGTCAGACGTGCAGGTGTTAACCGTTACATGACCCGGCAAAATACACCTGTAACATCCGTCTGCGGTTTTGTGCTGCACTTTCCAAACCAGCCCCTCAATCCCACATCATCAGGTCTTCCCACTATCTTTATGATCTAACAAGTGTTATTTTGCAATCAAAGATTCACACACTAATATTTTCATACATAGTTTCTGGCATCAGGGATTCTAAACATGATATGAAGGACTGTTCAGCGTAAAAAAAAAAAACATGCAGAAATACATTAGGAGATTTTTTAACACTTTTCTTTCGAAGCATTTTTGGTTTTTACTCAATATTTGTTGATACAATAAATTTCAATTCTAAAAGACATTTTGGTTAGTTACCTAATTGCTACATGAACGTTTTTAAGTTTACTCTTTGCCTAAGTACAGGACCAAGTCCGCTTAAATCCATCAATCTACTTCCAACGCATGCTTTGCTTTAGGCCTCCAGGCCTAAGTCCATCATGCGCCATCGATATTTAGTCAAACCAGGCTTGCAGGACCAAGTCCCCCAAAATCCACCAAAATGGGAGGGGGAGAGGCTGTGTATTTTGATGGAGTTGGGAAGGTTTGGTTTAATGTTCCTTTGTCTTGTTAAAAATAACACCATGATCTAATAAGTAAGTGAGTTTGTTTATGGTGTAAATCGAGGACATACCGGTACATGTACACGTGCAACATTATCGGTGAATCGAGGACGGGGACCAAATCGAGAACGACCTCAATTAGAAAACGTGTACAAAACTAATGAGAGCTGTTGCGAAAAAGTACAAACAAAGGAAAAGGGAAGAGGAACAAAAGAAAATGCTCGATTTACACCATAAACAAACGTGGGTGTTTCTGTGATGGGGTTCATGTGTTAGAGACCTTTTGGAGGAAATACATGTACCATTTTCTCCTTTGGTGCACAAATCCCAATAAACCACATCACAGCACACAGCGATTGTAAATATACATGTATATCCATAGCTTTGTGCGCATAATGTACATGTATGTACATGTCCTACCTATGCTGTAAGTGTAACCTTACATGTATATGTACATGTAGTGTATCCACTGCCTAAAGCAGATTGATTCAGTCTCTTGATTAAAAAATGAAATTCTAATCACCTTTTTTTTTTGGACAAAGCCACCGTCTGCACGCCGTCTTCAGCTATTGTCTCCATGCCAAGGTTAAATGACGGATCAATGCTACATATGTACAACATACAAGATGAAATGCAGGCTTGTGCATTTTCTAATAATTTAGTATTCGATTATTGGAACTTGGATTTGATCAAATATCCGAATATTCGAATATTGACATTGAGGTAAAAACTTATCATAAATATCATGCATGTATCGATGTATTTTTTTGAGAAAGCTGACTACTTGTACATACCGATAGCTGCTTTTGACAGTGATTAGAGATGCAAATTTGAACTAAAAAAACACTCAACTCATAACTTACGGTATTTTGAATTTTTTATCTTTTCGAGACGGCTTACTAGGACTAGAATATTCTTTTTGGTTCAAATGTTAGATTTGGATAACGGTGAGGTGGATGATCGAATATTCCAAATTATCGACGCAGCCCTAATGAGTTTTGTATGTGGTGTTTGTTGCAATTTGGGCAACACTATCCTGAACCCTGAAGTGAGATGTATGCGGTTCATTTAGAAGTTGTTCTCACTGTCAAGTTCAACATTTGAATGTACAATATCTATCGTATATATGTCAAAGATGTCACTGTATCCTGACTAGAATTTATTTTAACAATTCAGCACCAGCTAATTTGTTTTTATATAGGATAATTTCCTAGGATTTATTGCATACATTGTACTTGTACATGTACACACATACTGAAATTTGTATCCTTGTGGAGACATTTCTTTGTTCTCATGTACCAAAGTTTTCGAGTTTGAGAGTACAGTTTTAAAATGCTAAAGATTTTTTTAACCAGAATTAATTTCCTTGGCTGAAATTCGGACTTAATATGCCTTTTCTAAAACTCTACCATTTGCGGTGATCAACAAAGCTTGGAAATTCCTAGTTTTTGAGTAAAATCCATATATCTATTTTGTAAAAACCTTGTGGAGACATATTCATCTATAAAAAATTGCCCTGTGGAGACGTGTACAATCTTTTGTTTCCTATTGTGTGCATATGTCTCCAGAGAACACGGTGTTTCAGATCCTTGTAGCAATCCATTTGTTGCTACATATATATGTACATGTACCATAGACTCTGCACATAAAACTATGCTCAGTCACAAACATGTGGACATGACATTTGATGGATGTCGACCATTCGTATCAAATTTAAGATTGTTCTCCCTTCAGTGTAGACAATTTGTTATATTAACCATTATTACCGGTACAATATTGATTTCACCAAAATATTATTCAAGCAAGAGACCATCACACTCAGTCGGTCCCTCATATTCACAAGACAGTAGCCAAAATAAATTTGATTCGTCGTCGGTAATCATTATGTGCCATACACATTCTGAGCAAGTACATTACCGTATGATTGATCATTGGCTGTAGTGTGCATGCCACCACAGTGCGCCAGCCACCACAGTGCGCCGTACATTTGTTTCAGTCCAAGATATGACGACTATTGATTCAGCAACGCCAGCTTTTCATTTGACTTGCATGTGTGCACGCCATCCTCGATAAAGACGATTATGTTCGGGGAAAACATTGCTGTTTTTATGATTAAAGGTATACCTGTGCAGCATTTGCTTTTGCTGTAAGTTTCAGAAATGGATGGATTTGGGGGTACATGTATTTATAGCAAATATTGTTACACTGACCTGTTTAAAGTTTGTGTTCGTGGATGCTTGAAAAAGCAAGACAAACATGCTGTTCTTGTAGTCTGGTTCCCTGACCCTACTTCAGATGAAACAGAGCAAATTATAGACGTCGGGGTATAGTCTGGTAAGGGAACCAGACAAGCTGGCTTGAACTCGTTCACAGATGTGTAACAGATTGCAAACAAAACGTGGACTAACTGAATTTGGTGATATTGGGACAGTGTTTGAAAAAAGTCATTTTTCCCAACGATGGTTGGCCCAGCATCGTTGGAAATTGATACAAAAATTCCACTTTTCTTAAAAATGACAGCACACCAGGTGCCATAATTTCACAGGATGCTTGAGACTATTATTCACTTACAGTCAAGTAAGGTTTTCCTAATAATTTGGTTTTTTTTTTTTTTTTTATGTTTGCAAACGTTGTATATTTGTTATCACCTTTAACTGAGTTTCTAACGTGTTCCATTAAGCGGCCATCCCCGATGTACCCGTAATTGATGCATATGTATACATACATGTTTGTATCGTGTTTACACAATGTATGTCTGACATTTAACATATAATCCCTGCTCTTCTGTAGACCTTTCTT